TTTCATGTGCATAAAAATTTGAAACCATGTCTCATATTTGCACACCGCTTTGTGTTTCCCTTTAACTTTATATCCCATTAAAGGCAGAATTGTATGGTTCTACAATAAACAGTTGAAAGGTAAAGGGGACGCAATGCACTGAAGGAATTAGATCTTAGTTTTACATAAACATCCGTCTAAGTGACAAATGCATTGACTCATATACTAAAGTGAGGGGAAGAAAGGTTTTCTGAGGCAGCATCAGTCAGCAGAATTTATAGCAGTGACAGCTGTCAGTGTCAGGGGTCCAACACAGTTTTCTTTTCTCAGAGAAACTTCTGTTCCTCCAGAATGTCTTGAAGGAGCTGAGTTACATGGAGCCCCGTGGTGTCAAAATAAATAAAGCATGAAGGGAAACAGAAGGAAAAGTTGTTGATTTGAACAAACAGATGCAGCCCCATCTCCCTGACCTAGATTTTACAGTAATCTTCTCTTAAAATGTTCTCTTTTCTCCTTTTTATATGCATTTACCATCTCTTTTTTTATTCCCAGCCCTGATGGACACGGTCCAAACACTAAGGAAGAGCAGACGTAGACCTATATATGGCTCAGATTTTCATCAGATGAAAATAAAACATGAAGCAGCAGATGTGGGAGAATTGTTTCTGGGGCACTAAATCAAACTGTTCAACTTTTTAGGGAAACAGTTGTTGATTTAGTTAATATCATTCAAGTTGTTTAACACAGATACAGAGAACTGGTTAAAAGAAACATCTCAGCAAGAAGCACTCCTGCTGGTTTTTCTGTTTAAATATCACTTATCTACATTTCCCATATTATTTATGGGTTTCCCTTCAATTAGATTTTGCAATTCAGTTTATTTATATAGCACCAATTCTCAAGGGACTTTAAGCCTGAGATATACTGTGATATTTTCAATTGTTGCTTGCAGCCTCAGCTCAAATTGTGCAAATCAATCACAGAGATCAAAAGTCACAGCTAGTGATGTATATCCTTACAATGTAAGAACCGAGGCTTGAGTGCAATCTGAATAGTACTCGCATTGTATGTTCTCAAAGACAGATCCGTGTCCTTAACAATCCTAACCTGACTCCGCCAGATGGATTTGCTTCGCATATCCATCTCGAAACCTTCCG